CTGCGTCTGCGCCTTTTTTTCTTCTCCTTCAAGCCGTCTCCTCAACAATTTGGTCACTTCGAGCCGGATCCGGCTTGCAAAATGGAGGAGAGGTGAGTATTAGTGAAAATGAGAAGTGTGGGCAGAGGCTTTTCATCTCGATACGTTTTACAATATCGTGTGATAAAATCATGTGGAAGAAATAGTGCGGGCTGGGGCATCTGGAGTCATGCCGGGCTTTGGTGGGTTCAGGTCGGCCATCTTGGCAGGACGAAGCGGTCGCGTAAGTGGCGCGCTTTTGCTGATGCGTTCGCGTGTGAGGGAGACGCTGCCGTTGGCGCGCTTTTGCTGATTCGTTCGTGTGTGAGGGAGACGCGGCCGTTGGCGCGATATTCGGTGATGCGTTCGTGTGTGTGTGTGTTGGGAGGCATGCGCGATGCTGCCATCGGCATGATGTATGGCGGCGCGTTCGTGGGCATGTGCAACGCGCACGTTGGTGCGATGCACGGAGCGCGCGTTTGCGTGAATGCGCATCCCGATCATGGCTTGTATCCGCGTCGCAGGTTGGCGCGCGCCGGGGCACGGCTCGCCGCCTTGGAGCGAGGGATATGTCCCCGTGAGCTCGCCGGCTCTCTCTATCTCTCTCTCTATCTCTCTCTCCCCCCGTCCTTGAGCTGATGCCGCATCGTCGCGGTCATGATCGCTCTCTCGCGCGCGCTCGATCGAAGTACGTCACGATACGCACGGTGTTGTCTGATCATTTCGACACGAGGTTCGCCACACTGTGCGGTGTCCGGCGTCTACCCCGTGTGAGCGACACAAACTCGAATGGCTAACCGAACGCTGCAACTGCAAGAACGCGCACACGAGCAGATCTCAGACTGACTCGTTCGAGAGCCTCAGTCAGATGAGATATGCACACAGGAGCCATCGCGCTCATGATGCTTGCGCCGCGTACTGGGCAAATTCAACTCACAGAGTCTCAGTGGAATGCTCGATCCTCGCGTTCCGCTGATCGACACAATTGACTCGGGGACGCGCTTGTGTTTGTTTCTTCTTTTTCTTTTGGTTAACCGCGTGAGCACAGGTGTGCCCTGTGAATCGCGCGAGCCTGTTTATACGCAAGTGCAGACGACGATTCTTGTTTTGACAGCTAGTGTGCTCCGTTGTGTCAATACGTCGAGCAAGGAGAGAGAGCCTCTGCTCCGCTGCACTAGAGCGTCGAGCCTCAACTAATTTTATCGTTGCACTTTCGGTGGTGTTTGTTTTGTTCTGATTGCAGAGATCGATTTGTGACGACGCAACTGGAACTTGTGGAGACGTTGAAGGCGCTGTGCGCTACGATCGGCGCCACTCCTCGTGACAGCTGGTCCTTGGGCACAGGCCAGGCCCATTACGAGCTCCTCGAATCGTACTGGAACGATTTTCAACGCAACCATGTGGCCCTCTGGGACGCCGATCCTCTCCACTACAATCGCCCCGTGATTTATGCTGAGGTCGAAGGGAGCTACACGACGGCAAAGGGCCAACTGTATGACATTCAACAGCGTCTGCTCTCTGTTGACCGCCACTCCGCCACTGTCGCCCTGAGCCAAGGGGCGCCGCTCTCTACGCAATCGTACCAACGATTGCCTCAAATCAACGTCCCGGAGTTTTCCGGTCGACGAGAAGACTGGGAAGGCTTTCGCGACCTCTTCACTGCGCTCATTCATCAGAATCATCACCTCACCGATGTTGAGCGCCTGTTTTATCTGAAGACGCTGGTCAAGGGCGAGGCTAAGGCTGCACTCGAGTCACTCCAAGTGATGGGGAGCAACTACGAGACGGCATGGGCGCTACTGGAAAGTCGATATGACAACCGTCGGCTCCTGGTACACGATCATCTGGTGGCGTTGCGTGCCCTCAAGCCTCTTCGCGACGCATCCGTACGCTCGCTCCAGGGACTTATTGACACACTTAGTCGACATCGAGACCAACTACGCAGTCTGGAATGCCCGATCAACTCTTGGGACGATTGGTTCGTCTCCATTGCAGCCTCCTGTATGGATCTGTCAACGCGACAAGCTTGGGAAGCCGAACTCGAGCGCCTCGACGCTGTGGAGCAGAGCGACACCGAGGTTCCTCCTGGTCGACGCCTTCCGTCGTTCGCAGACCTCAACGTGTTTCTCAATGGACGCTGTCGCATGGCCGTGGCCTGCTCTTCAACGGGTGCCTCAGGCGTCAGACTGTCCGGCCAAGCCGGAGGCGATCGCCCAGCACGATCGTTCGTCACTCGCCAGGTCGCTGCTAGCTGCCCTCAATGCAATGGTGACCACTACGTTGGTCACTGCTCTTCATTCACCAGCCTTGAGCCAAAGGAAAGGAAAAGCGTAGTGCTGCGGCTCCATTTATGCTTCAATTGCCTGCGGCCTGGACATTCAGCGAGAATCTGCCCGTCGAGATCAACATGCCAGCTGTGTAATGCCACCCACCACACTCTATTGCACGAGGGAGGCGCCAAGCACAGTGCCTCAGCTAATGACTCTGATCCTCCAGCGAAGACACCGAGATTGACCCTCGTGACTTGGGGAGGGAAATGCACCCCTGACCCTAGTAGCCGCAGTGCCAACAACGTATCTGCTCTGCCAATATTGCTACCCACTGCGCTCGTGCGCATCAGCGGCCCGCATCGACATACCATCATGGTGCGTTGTCTCTTAGATAATTGCTCGGAGGTATCTCTCATCGCCCATTCTCTTGCATCGAAGCTACAGGCCCCGGTACAGGAGGTCACCACGGATATCACCGTCATCGGCGGCGACGTCGCCCAGCGGTCACAACGCCGAGTCAGCCTCAACCTTCATTTGCCTGGTCAAAGGACGCCCATCATCATCGAGGCCAGTTGTCTTCGTCATCTCGGCATTACAACGCCATCACAACAACTGCCCCACGAGGCTGTCCCGGCGAGCATGCACGGCTCCTTGGCGGATCCAAGCTTCTACCAGCCTGGAGCGGTGGACTTACTTCTTGGTGCCAACGTCATGCCCTATCTGATGAGAGAGGGCCTTCAGCATATCAACGGTCTCGTCGCCCAACGTACGTTGGTTGGATGGATAGTGTGGGGAGGTCTCCGGCAATCTCAGCCGACCGACTCATCTCATTGCTTGACTCTGGCTGCTGAGGACATCGAGCCAACATGGCAGCAACAATTAGCTTCTTTGCTTCAGAGGTTCTGGGCAACTGAAGAGCTCCCTCGCGCCGAGCGAAGTTCGCCCATCGACAACTGGACCGAAAGTTTGTTCGCCCAACACCAGCGCAGTTCGACTGGTCGATACACTGTTCGACTTCCAATCCAGCCTGATGCAGCTCAACGCTTGGGCTCCAGTGAAAGCTCGGTGCGAGCCTCTCTCGACGCCCTTCACCGACGGATGACACGCTGTCCTCGTTTCGCCGACGAATATCGATCATTCATGAAGACGTACATCGAGCTGGGCCACATGTCTGAAATTCCGCGCCATCAAATTGAGTGCAGGCACCCGGCCTACTACATCCCGCACCACGGGATTTGGCAAGTCAGCGATCATGGACCCAGGCTACGGGTAGTCTTCGATGCGTCTCGACCAACTTCGTCTGGTGTCAGCCTAAACGACGTGATGTGTCGGGGCCCCAAGCTCCAGAGGGACATTTGGCTAGTTCTTCTGCGCTGGCGACAACATCGCATTGCATTTTGTACAGATGTTCAGATGATGTACCGTCAAATTCGCATTGACGAGCGCGATGTTGACTGGCAACGCACGCTGTGGAGTCCATGCGCTGCTGAGCCAGCTCGACACTATCGGCTTAATACTGTCACATATGGCACGACTTGCGCACCCTACTTGGCTCTGCGCACCATCCAGCAATTGTGCACCGACGAGGGTGCTCAATTCCCTGCGGCCCAGCAGGCGATTTTGAACGACCGATATGTAGATGACATCCTGTCCGGAGGTCCAGATCTGGTCACCGCAAGAGAGTTGCGCGACGAACTCATCCAGCTCATGAAGGCGGGCGGATTCACGTTACGTAAGTGGGTCGCTAATGATCCACATCTTCTCGAAGAGCTCGACGCCGACGACTGTTTGCGACCCTCTTGGGTGCTATTCACCGACGAAGACCCGGTCAAGGAGCTTGGAGTCGCGTGGAATCCGCAACGTGACACGCTCAGTCTTCGTCATGCCACCTCCAATCGGGAGCCACGCAGCAAGCGCGAGGTATTGGCCGCTCTGGCTCGAATTTACGATCCATGTGGATGGGTAGCGCCTGCGACTCTTCTCGCAAAAATGTTGGTACAAGACTTATGGCGAGCTCACCTGGACTGGGATGATGAGCTGCCCGACAACGCGATCCGCGAGTGGACAGCTATTCGCCAGGGCCTCGACAGACTGCCAGAAGTCTCAATCCCACGCTGGACACAACTGACGCCTACGTCGACGGGTGCCACCATTCACGTCTTCGCGGATGCCAGTCGACGAGCTATGGCCGCCGTTGCTTATTTGCGACATCAACTCGACGATCGCGTCCAACTGAGTCTTCTAGTCTCAAGGACCAAGCTTGCGTCGATCAGGAGTCTGAAGGACGACCCACGCAAGGAACCACGTATGACCATTCCCCGACTAGAGCTCCGTGCCGCTTACCTCGCCGTCCGGTTGTTGCACTCCATTTGCTCAGAGCTGCCCATGCGCATCGAGAACTGTGTCGCGTGGACCGACTCACGCATCGCTCTCCATTGGATCCGATCCACCGAGCCGACCGGTAACTCGCTGGTAGACGGCTATGTGCAGCAAATTCAAGAACTCGCTCCGATCGACATCTGGCGACACGTCCCTTCTGCACAGAATCCTGCCGACGTGGCCTCAAGAGGGGCTAGTGTGCCACAACTTCTTGAACACGACATGTGGTTTACCGGCCCTCCATGGCTGTCAAACCCACCTGAAGCGTGGCCGTCAACTCATGGCTCGCTCGACGGCGTGGCCCTCGGCGGCCAGGCCATATGTCTTCATGTAGCAGCCCAGGAAGTTCCAGCCGATGATTACATCACTCGGTTCTCCGATCTCGGCCGACTGTTACGATTCTTGGCCCGCCTACGACGATGGATTCGATGCAAGCTCCATCGCCAACCGACACCTGCGGTCCTCAGTCCAATGAGCCACGCTGAGCTTAACGGAGCTTTCAAGGCATGTGTTCGACTCAGTCAGAGTCAGAGCTTTGAACGTGAGATTACTATCCTTCGGGCGGGACTCGCTGTGCCAGTTCGGAGTCCGCTGGCCTCACTCGACCCGTTCATTTGCTCTGACGGACTTCTTCGAGTCGGCGGGCGGCTCCACCAGTCGCAGCTAGCTTTCGATCGCAAGCACCCACCAATCGTGGACGGCTCCAATGCCTTGGCTGCATTGATCATTGGATGGGCTCACCTTCAGACCTTACACGGGGGATTCCGGGCCACGTATGTCCAAGTGTTGCAGAGAGTCTGGTTGATCAACGGCAAGCGGGCGATTCGTCGTCACATTCATCACTGCGTCATCTGTATCGCGTCACGAGCGAGACCCATGGCTCAAATCATGGCCCCTCTCCCATCACAGCGCGTGACGCCTTGTCGCGCATTTGCTCGCACGGGACTCGACTACGCCGGTCCATTTCAAGTCTGGTCGTCACGAGGACGTGGTGTTCGCGCCACCAAGGCATGGGTCGCTGTGTTCGTGTGCATGACCACGAAGGCAGTTCACCTTGAACTGGCAGGGGACCTCTCCACTGCCAGCCTCCTTGGAGCTCTCACGAGATTCAGTGGGCGACGAGGCCGGCCGTCTGAAATATGGAGCGACAATGCCACCCATTTCCATCGGGCTGACCTCGAGATCCGCGAAGCACTGAACAACCCGAGACTCAACTGGACCACCGTATCCGACCGTCTCACTGAGCAAGGCATCAAGTGGAGCTTCATTCCACCCAGTGCTCCGCATTTCGGCGGCTTGTGGGAGGCCGCGGTCAAATCGTTCAAGGCCCACCTGAAACGAACCCTTGGCCCGCGACGAGTCACGTTCGAGGAGATGAGCACTCTCTTGGTGAGCATCGAGGCTGTGCTCAATAGTCGACCATTATGCCCCGTTACCAACGAGGCTGACGATCTGCACGTCCTGACTCCTGGACACTTTCTCGTCGGGACTCCATTGCTCGCTCTTCCAGAGCAAGATGTTGACATCGGCGCCATCGACCATCTCCACCATTGGCAACTCATCCAAGCGTTGCGAGCTGTCTTTTGGAAAAAATGGAGCCGCGAATATCTCAATACGCTACAACAACGCACCAAGTGGACTCGACGCAGTAACTCGCTTGCCATCGGAGATATGGTGCTGCTCATGGACCCTTCTCTTCTCCGGCCCTCAGGACGTTGGCCTCTCGGCCGAGTCATCGAGGTTCACCAAGGTCGAGATGGGCTGGTTCGCTCGGCAGTCATCAAGACGGCTCACGGAGTCTACACGCGCCCAATCGTTAGGCTTGTTCTTCTGCCCATCAAGGCCGAGTCTGCACGCCGCCCTGACCACGACGATGACGTCCCCTTGCATGGCGGGCGGCCCGTGTAACTTGGAGTCGTTCCAGGAACGAGGCGGGCGGTGTTTTGAACGAGAGCTGAGTCGAATAGTTCGCGGACCGTTGGTCCCGACTCGAGCGCTGCGCGTCTCCCACTCCGCGCTGCGGAGCAAGTCGACACTCTCGCTCAAGTGCTCCGAGCGCGAACATCGCCTGCACCGAATCGTTTTACGCCTCGCGCGAACTAGTTTTTGTACACCTGTTTAAGTAATTTAATTGTTCTGTCCACGTAAACGTGATTGTATCCACCAAGAAAAATAAAGAGTTTAGTTCAACCTGAGCCACCTGCGTCTGCGCCTTTTTTTCTTCTCCTTCAAGCCGTCTCCTCAACACATTGCCACTTTTCCAGCGAAAAGTAAAGTGATGTTCATAAATATCGAGGAATTCAGTGAGAATTCGTATTCTCGCCATACTTCGCCTTCAACTTTCACCTAACTATGCCCAGAGGAAGACCATGTCAGTGGATCTGAGGATAGAAAACTACGATAACTGACGTTTTAGCGGCTCTATGACCTGATAGGTCGATAATACTTGCAAGATTTTGAGTATTTCTAGGGCAAGTGCTGAATTTCTCTTAAACTTTGACGGGCAGTTCGTCAAGAAAACGACATCTCATGGGATCATTGCCACTTTTCCGGCGAAAAGTAAAGTGATGTTCATAAATACCGAGGAATTTAGTGAGAATTCGTATTCTCGCAATACTTCGCCTTCAACTTTGACCTAACTATTCCCAAAGGAAGACCATGTAAGTGGATCTGAGGGTAAAAAACTACAATAACTGACGTTCTAGCGGCTCAATGACCTGATAGGTCGATAATACTTGCAAGATTTTGAGTATTTCAAGGGCAAGTGCTGAATTTCTCTTAAACTTTCACGGGCAATTCGTCAAGACGCCGGCATATCATTAGATCATTGCCACTTTTCGGGCGAAAAGTGAGGTCATGTTCATAAGTATCGGGGATACTAGTGAGAATTCGTATCCTCGCCATACTTCGCCTTCAACGTTCACCATACTATGCCCAAAGGAAGACCATTTCAGTGGATCTGAGGGTAGAAAA